ATGGGGCCCCGGGAGAACTGATCCTGCCCTTTGGCAGCTCCATCAGTGAGAGAGCTGTTCCCTTCTCACAGGAGAACTGGCCCCAGTGGCATAAGCACTGAAGAGCTAGCCCTGACCCTTGCCTGAGGGAGGCAGTCCTGCTGGAGGCTCATACTGACCAACTCAGCTACCATCCAGGCCTACATCTGCACTTGACTTGCTAATCTCCCCCCCCCCCCCAAACATCTACCTCATCTATAACCTGCTGAAGCATGTGAAGGGGCTGGTCCTGTGGTACCACAGCTGCAGGATCTCCATGACTCGGGACAACAGCAGGATGCCTGAGACAACATTCCGTGAGGGATCCAGTACTGATGGTGTACCAGAAGTCAGAGGCTTTGAACCTGACCAACAACTCATTGTAGTGAACATTTGCAAGTAAAGTTGTATGGGCCAAAGAGTGTACTGCATGACACACCACAGCTCGCAAGGCCATTATGACAAATGAATGTGCCCTGGAGAGGTGGGAAAGACTGAGAACTGAAATATTTTTTTCTGGTTTTTGTTTGTTTGTTTGGTTTTATTTTATTTTAGGGGCTACAAGGGTGGAGGAAGGACATGGAAGGACTGGGAAGTGAGTGGGATTGGGGTACATGGTGTGAAATTCCCAGTACTTTTAATAGAACATCCTGAATCCTCATGAGCCTGTCAGCTTATTATCAATAGTTGGATGAACTTGTTCATGTACTCTATCCTTTTTTTGTGAATGAAATACATAGGTGAGTTCCAGACCTTGAATGACTTCAGCCATAAGTAATATATTATGCATTGTTAGTTGAGACAATAGACTTTATGTATAAACTGTGTCATAACTACAAAATTGATTTTATATTATTTAATATCCATTTTCAAAGTTGCTTGACAGACTCCTTTGAACAGTTCTTTCCCATTGATTGTGACTAAGCAAAGAAAGTGAAAAGTGAGTGGACAGAAATCATAAAAAGCACTTACTTAATAAAAATACTTTTACTAATGATGATAAAATGATAATTATGATAGACCAGTAATAATTATACAAAAACAATTATGTCAGGGATTTGTGAAAATTCCTAGTATTTCTGTTGTGGTTGTTTATATTTTATTTGGAGGACTAGAGGTTGAAGCCAGAGCATCACACAAGCTAGGAAAGTGTGCCACCACTGACATATGTATGTATGTCTGCAGACCTCTTTGTGCTTTTTAAAATTGTTATTTAATGATTTTAATTATTATCATAGTACAAGGGTTGTATGGTGTATGTGTGCGTGTGTGCGTGTGTGCGTGTGTGCGTGTGTGTGCGTGTGCATGTGCGTGTGCGTGTGCGTGTGTGTGTGTGTGTGTGTGTGTGTGTGCTTCTGTGAACCCGGGTAGGTGTGCCATACAGTGTGTGGAAGTCAGAGGACAACTCTTAGTCTGTTTTCTCCATCGACTATGAGTTGTGGGGCTCAAATCACCCGTTAAGAAAGTGATTTTCACAGCTGAGCTCTCTCTAGCCTTCCATTTACATTTCATTTTGAAACAATCTTCCTAATTGTGCACAAAGACCTTCTAGTCTTTTCTAGCCTGAGCTGGCTAGGAGCTCAGCCCTGCTGTCTCAGCTTGAAGGGCAGCTGAGTCCTCGTGTTTGAGACACTAGGTTGTCTCTGTTTGTAAATGATATGTTAGGCAATTTAAAAGTTTTTCCACTTTTGTTTTTGGTTTTGTTTCCTGTGAAACAGGGTTTCTTTGTGTATCCCTGGCTGTCCTGGAACTCACTCTGTAGATCAGGCTGGCCTTGAACTCATAGAGATCTACCTGCCTCTGCCTCCTGAGTGCTAGGATTAAAGACATTCCCATCATCTTTCCTTTTTAAATTTTATGAAATTTTGTTTTCTTGGGAGGTTGAATAATTTATTATTTTCATTTTGCTAATTTTTATTTTTCTGGTTATAAAAGAAATACATGTTTCATAGAAAAATGCTGGAAAAAAATAGCAATTCCATCACCTGGTGGCAATCACTCAGTATTCTGACGTATTTCTTAGTCTTTTCTTGGTGTGTGTGGGGGATGTGCAAAACATGTATCAGGATGTGTATTTGTGTAAAAAATTAGAACTTCTTTCCAAGTCACTTATTTTAATTTACATTTTGTTTGATGTATTTATCTCAGATTATTTGAGAATGTTAAACATTTTCTTCACTCCTTGTGCTAACTAGTGAGTGTTCTGTAGCAAATCCTCTAAAGTGGAACTCAATTCCACAGAGAGGACTGTAAATACTTTCAAGATTGTAAGTATCTGTTGTTTAGTTCTAGTTATTATCTCCTAGTTTAGAAAATGAATATTCATTTCAAACAAACTATTGGTTTAATATGTTAATGTATTAGTTTTTGATTGATGTATGGAATATTGTCTACCTTTCTGTTTTTCTTTTTAACATTTTTGAGAACGAATTCTTTTTCAATACTTTTGAAAACTCTCTTCTGAGTATTTGTGTGTCTGATCACAGTTCTTTGCTCTTTCACGGTGTTTTCCTGTTTCAGGGCTCATCCTCCTGCTTCTAAAACCTTCTCTAGAGACACAAACTCCGTATGTCTTAGGTTTTCCCCAGCACTCTTAATCTTCTCCTGTGCCTCCCAGGAATGCAACGGCCAACAAAAACTTCTAATTGGAAATTAATTCTTATATTATTACAAGGATTAATGAGTCATTGATACACTTGGAAGAGTATTAACTTTAAGATAAATGAATGTCTGTTTTGAATTGTTTAAATATTAAATTTTGGCAAGGAAGTCAGGTGTAGCTGACATACTATTTAATATCCCTCCTAAGGTTAGAATTCTTCTAACTGTTGCGAAACTCTCATTTCCTAATAGCTTCATTAGCTTTTTGTGGTCCCTAATACTAAAACCAGTGTCTGGATCCCCAGCACTTTAATTGAATGCTCTTAAATTATAATATGTTGATAAACACATTTGTCATTCCTATATGACACAGGAAACTTTTGGTGATTTCATTGGTTCATTCATATAGTAAGATTTCCACATATACCACCCAGGTCCACACCTTCCACCCAGGATCAGATGTCGGCTTTCTGGGCTTAGCTGAGGATTGACTGTGGAGAAGTACTGAGATAGACGCTTTTCTCATCTCCCTATCCTTTCCTTCCCTGATTCCTTTGCAGTACTGACTGGATGGATACTTTTCCCCCCTGGAATCAGTTATGTTTTCACGCCATAGTAGAAGGCTGCATTATCTGGCCTTTAGTTGCCATTAAATAAGACATGTAGTTTAGATGCAATGTCTTCATCTGGGCTGGTAGTGCTCCCTCTGAAAGCCAAAGATTATCTAACAACACTATCAATGCTAGGAATGAGGATCCCTCTTTGGAGGTGCTGTCAGGGCTGTCTAAGAGATTCCCAAAACATTACAGACTCTGACTGTTGCCCTTGTTTGCCCTCCAGAGGTGGAAATTAACTCCTTATTGCTGAAGACACCGTGCACTTCAGACACAGGGTTCAGAGGTCTCTGTGCTGGAGCTAACCTGAAAGCCTAGCTTTCATGTAAGCTTCCAAAGAAAGAAAGCAACCAACAGTCCTACCCAGCTATGATACCTATGAACCCCAACAATGACCAGCATGACATATTAACACTAAAGGTGCAGTAGTGCACACATGCATCGTCTGTAACCAACAGCTCTCTAATTGAACTTAGGACCTGCTCAACAAGAGGTAAACCATGCCTGGTACTGGAAACCTAGACAACTACTCAGGGCTAATGAAGTCATGGATCTTGGAGGAAAACCTACAGCCTCCACTTTATTGAACCAGCATAATCTCAAACAACATTTAAGTATTTGTCCTTATACATATCTGAATAAAACAATATAACTTAAAAAGTTTAAATATTTTTGGTTGTGAGCCTAGCCTCAGGAGGCAGAGGCAGGCGGATCTCTGTGAGTTCGAGGCCAGCCTGGGCTACCAAGTGAGTTCCAGGAAAGGCACAAAGCTACATAGAGAAACCCTGTCTCGAAAAACCAAAAAAATAAAATAAAATAAAAAAAATAAAAAAATAAAAAATAAAAAGTTTAAATAAAGACGCAGGGGTCCAGAGTATATGGATGATTTTAAAACTATCCCTATTTCTTTTCCTGTTGTGATCAAATACTCTGACAAAAGCAAACTTAGGAAGAAAAGGGTTTATTATGATTAACAGTTCAAAGTACAGTTCAACGTGTCAGGAAAGTCAAGACAGAATGAATTTGAAGCAGCTTGTCACATTGCAACTACAGTCAAGAGACAGACAGCAATAGATGCTCAGATACCTCTCTCAATTGTGGCTGGAATCCCAGTCAGTAAACAGTGCTATCCATACCGGGGCAATTCTTTAATCAAGATACACAGCAGGCATGCCCAGAGGCCCATCTCCCAGCTAATTGCAGATTCTGTCAAGCTGACAACATTAACAGTCACACAAACTGTGATTGAATCTCTAGTAGTGAAAGGAAAAACAATTTAAACAATAAACAATACTACTCCCTTTAGGCCAACACCTTAGTTATATCCACCAAAGTTGATACTTTTTGAATGTTCCTTCAACACTAATATACTAAGGCTACCACCACTGCCATTTACTGTTTCTTACAGCCCACACGGTATTGAAACAGTCTATTATTTCTGCCTTTTTTTTCATGTACATAGATAATTCACAACCTAGGAAGTAAACTTCAATATTTCAAGAAGAAACTTACCTTTTTTCTTAAGAAAACAGGTTTATTTAGTACAGTGCAAGAGGGCTGGGCAGTAATGAGACTTTGCAGCAAAAATAAACTTTTCATACATTGACTTTGTCACGCCCATGAGCTGACTGAGCCAGTTGACATAAGGAACAGTCACAACACAGATTCTCTTCTGGAGATTCTAGAATGGAGATCTAAAAGTATGGATTTAGTTCCAGGTGTGTCACACTTTTATACTGAACATTCTTTTTACCTTACCTTCTATTTTTGAAGAGGGAATCAATATAGATGAATAGTGATTTTTTTTTCTTGTTTTGAGTTCTCATCATGACAGCCGTGCCTATTGACTGGCCAACTGGGTACAGTCGGATCTTAGCTCAGGCATTGGCTTAACCAACTAACTCCCCTTGGGCTTTGGCCAAGCCTCTGCCCATTGGATTTATCAATAGGGAGCAGGGTGAGCTCCCTGCTGGTAGGGATTTTACCTGGTTCCTTTCTGATATCATCCATCCAGATCCCAGGAAGAAGCCACCGACAGCTCTATTACAAGGAAAGCATGGAAAGGAAAGCATGCTAAGCCATGTACTTCTCTCCCCTTGAAACTAAGCTGCTGTTTACAACCTACTTCTATGAAAGCTGCCGTCATTGGTAAAGATTCTATAAAATGAGGAGAGGGAGAGAGAGAAAAGAGGGGATGAATGCAAAGCATATGCTTGGGAACCTGTTTATACTTCAACTTCCTTGTGATTAAAAAATGAGTTTACTGTATTATTCTGAAAAGGGTCCAAGCATTAATGACATAACTTTGGTTTAGCCCATTCCTTGCGATCTTCTCAACTCTTCTGTAACTACAAGGCTGCTGAAGCAAAAGAGAGTTGAGTTTTCTGTATTAACACTGCTGTTGCCTATAGGTTATTTCCCAAGAATTCTTTTCAATAACATCAGTATGAACAGGGCTGTATGCATTTAAATATGTTGATCTTTTGAAAAAAATCCTGAAAGCCAGTGAACCCCTATCAATGGCTCATTCTTGTTTTTGTATAAATAGGATTCTTTAAAGATCTTAACAAGTTCTTTGATAAAAACACTTGAAGAACTTGATTTGATTAGGAAGTAGTGATTTTTGAATAACAACAATATCCATATTAAAAGATTTATTTTATGTGTATGGATATTTTGCCTGAATGTATGTCTATACACCTTGTGTGTGCCTGGTGCCCATGGAGGCCAGAGTAGGACGTCAGGTCCCCCGGAACTTGAGCAGCCACCATGTAGCTGCTGGGAATCTACCTTGTGTCCTCTGGTAGAGCAGCCAGTGCTCTTAATCACTGGGACATCTTTCCAGCCCTTAGCAATATCCATTTTTAAATAGGTCATTCAAAAGTCAGTTTGAAACTGTTTGAGTGAAAATGGGGACCATGGAAATTAGGATTCCCTGTTTTCATGAATGGGAAATGACATTAGAGGCAAAGTTGGTGTCTTTATTGCAGTTGTGGCCCTTGTGTTTGGCCTTTCTGTGGACAGCATGAAGATATATAATTAGGTTTAATAAATGCCAGCAGACACCCATATGAACTGGCTTTATATATGTTTATACACATGGGCAATAATAGTTAAATGAAAGCATCTATATATTTGTTCACTCATCTTACGGTAGGTCTGAATTATCTCAGAAGTGCTTTTTGTGTGCCACTGAAGAGCAAACCCGCTAACATGATGTCAAGATGTGTTTGTGCTTTCCTAACTCTCTATCCCTCACACCTTGCCAAGGCCCAGTAAAGACTGTGGGCCAGAGGTCCCTGGAGTCATGATTCGACCACCACCTTACCCTTGCTCTGGTGGTATGTCCATTTGAAGAAACAGTGGATTCACTGTCCTGGTTTCTTTCTTTCTTTTTTTTCTTACCCATTTAGTCTATCTTTTCAGTATATATGATGTCATGGCAAAACTATAACATTTTCAGCCAAGTGGTAGGAACTTGTGAACCCCACTTCACTCCCTTCCCTTCATCTCTTGGTAACCAGATACAAGGCATTCCGATTTCTTCTTGCTTGTTCCTTTTGCAAACATGTGCAGGTGTAGGTGAGATTTATCATCCCCCCCACCCTGCATTTTACACAAAAAGTGGCAGACTGCACACTCTTCTGCCCCACCCTTTCATCATGTAACAGTATCTGGAAATTGTTCATAGACATTTGTTCATGGACATCTTTGTCATGCTGTTTTTATAACAGATGGAACTTGATAAGTGAGCTAGATTCAAGAGAGAGGGGAAACCAGTGCTGTACAATGAGAGGACTTGCGGGGGGGGAGGGGGGGGAGGCTGGGGAAAGCACATCTTTGGGAAGATTTTCTCCAGGCTGAAAGGCCTAATTCATTGTATTCACTATCCACTTAGGAAACATTTGGAAAAGACCGCTTTTCTGTCCCAATGGATGTGCTGCTTTGTTGAAGTAGGATTGAAAGTAGAACATGTTTGGATTTAGTGGAGTCACAGGAGAGCATCAGAGATCTCATATCCTGAGGCACAGAGAAATCTGCTTTGAAGTGTGACTACTGATAGAGCATCTTTCCAAGTCTGCCTGGCCTCTTGCATGAAGAAGGCCTGTGGACGATGTCTCACTACCTGCTCTCTAGAGAATTAAACATTGACTTTAGACAGATTCATGCAGATAGTGTACAATGCAATTATCCAAGTGAGGACAGCCACAGAATCATCAAAGCATGAAGCTCCTGTGACAGCTAAGACCCAGAGGGTTAGAGGCAAATGTCAGAGCAGGTCTATTGTTCTGGAGTCTGAGAACTGGAGATGAAAGGAGCCCCAAACACTGCAAGAGTAAACAGGGAGGGACACAGGATGATCCTCCAGCTAGAACAAGCACCGCCTCTCAGAGCTTCCTTTGAAGTTCTTTCTGGTGAGGGTGTGGTGGGTCAGCTGAGTCTATGGAGCCCAGACACAAACACATAGATGCTTCACTTTTACATTTGAAGATTGGATGGGATGACACAGCTTCGTTTTACAAATCGCAGAATACCTAACTAAACCCAGGCTCTTGTGTAGGAAAGTCGGAAAACTAAATTGCACTTTACATGCCAAGCAGTGAGTGTAAGTGGTTTATTTCCTCAGAAGAACAGAAAAGAAAATGTGTAATGTCCAGTATAAATTCTTAGATGAGCGACTTGGAATTAACTAAGAGAAAGTAAAGGCCTTCAAATAAGCAGTGAGATTACATCTGGGTAGCCTTCAAAGCACCCCTCCAACTCTGTTCCCTTTAGTATTCCTTCACTATTGAATTTGCCTCAGATATCTGCAATAAAACATGAAGGCCCAAACAAAAACATTTTAATTAAATTTCCTTAGCATTTAAAAGTAGAAAGAAGTTAAATTTGATTGATATTTTCGAGAAGCCGTCCCATCGCATTCCTTTCTGAATTCTAAAAACTTCCATTGAACAAATAATTGTATGTATTTTTGGAGTCCAGTATGAAGTTTCAGTCAGGTGTACATTTCTGAATTTCTTCTGTAGTGTTGTTTTTAAAACAGAAGACTTTGTCGGATATACCCCAGGGATGCTTCAAATTATAAGTAATAACAGAAAAGAAGCTGATTATATTGAAATATAGTTATAAACACACACACACACACACACACACACACACACACACACACACACACACACACACACACACACACCACCTGTGTGCTTGCACAAAGCCTCATTGTGATATGCTAACATATACACATTATATTGTACTGGGCATTGATCCCAGGACCTCATGCTAGCTACGCACTCAACCACTGAGCTATATTTTCAAGCCTCTTTTTGCCTTTTATTTTAAGATGGGTCTCACTAAGTTGTGCAGGCTGGCCTTGAATTCACTCTGTAGCCCAGGCTAGTCTCAAACCTGCAGTATTCCTGCATCAGCTTCCTCAGCTGGCCTCTGATACCAGGACTGGTGAATATGTATACTTAAAAAAAATCAACTCATCAAAAATAATAAGAGTCACTAAGCTGATTAAAATGAGTAACATAATCCTAATAAGTATAAGTGATATTTAGTGATACTTATAACAGCTGTCATAATATGAAAATACCTGACATATTTGAGAAAATGCCAGTTATTATTGTCATGACTATGATTTCTGGTTTTTTATGCTTGTAACAAAAAGAAATACTAGATTTCCAGCTATGAAAACAAACACATGGCATTTCCCCACTCAGTTTCATAGACACTGTGAATTGAAAGGGTAATGGAGCTCACGTGAGAAATGAGTTTGTCATTTAACTTGTCAGGGACTTGATGCCTTCACAAACCCAGGGACATTTCAGTCTAAATTACCGCCTTATTTTCACGACCCAGATCCTCACAGGGACGGTGACCAAAGGCCCTTTGATCTCTGTGGCTGCAGGATTTTGCTAGGAGACTTTTGATGTAGATTTTATTTTTCCCACACACTGACTATAAGGGTGACATGGGAGAGTTCCTCAGTGTGCCTTTGACACCACTGTCTTGGGAATCCTGGCCTTATGGTTCATTCCTCACCTTTTTGGCACCCAATCCTTGGTCCTCCTGAGTCACAGAGGCCCACAAGGCAGCTGCTGACTCAGCGGCTTGTTTGGCTCTGAGGTTATGTGATTCCTCATCACTTCTGGCCTCTGAGAATTTCCCCGGTTTTCCTGCCTTCTCGGGCACACATCCTTTTTTTTTTTTTTTTTTTTTTTTTTTTTTTTTTTTTTTTTTTTAAATCATGCTACAAAGCTTCTGTTTTTATTTCCTTTTTGGTGACATTCTCCTGAGAGGATTTCTTTGGGTAGCTGGGATATTGTCTTGTCGGATCTGATCCTGATTGGAATTCATCTTGTTTAATCTTGTTTTATGTTTACAGACATCCTATGACATAGCTCATCAGAGCTGGAGAGAGGAGAAAGTCGGCAGCTATTTGTTTGATCAATAAATAGGTGAATTTTTATGCTTCCACATAAATGAATAATGGTGTATTTTGAGGCTATGTAACACGCCATTAAGTTGATGGGTTAGGAATCTTCCCTTTGAGAGAGTGATGCCTATTTAACTTGCTCCAGGGAAGAGCAAAAGAAAAAAAAAAAAAGCGATCTGTATACATTGTCGATATAACAGTCTCTTAAGTGCAAAGTTCTCCCAAATAGACCCATTATTGTCTTGCCATTCACCACCTCTCTCCTATGTTGCCAAAATAACTCTTCTTTTTTTTATTTCTTTGCATTTTATTAGTTTTCTTAAAGCCAGCCACATCATGAAATTCCTGCATTTTTACTAATTCCTGCATTTTTACTCTGTCCGTGGACTGGTGGACTCCTTGCTCCTGGTTCTAAGAGCTGTGGGGGTGTCTGTCTTTTGTGTCCTGCAGCATTCTTTGTTGCGTTTAAGTCACAACAGAAATGCGATCTCAGGCATTTCTTCTGCTGTGCAGCTAACCATAAAAAGGCAATCTCATTCTAAGTCAGTTAGAGTTGCCGAGAATGATTCGCGTTCAGCTTTGTTCCGGTTGAGAGGCTGTTCTTACCAAATTTCTATGCATGGGCTACTACAAAATAGGCTCAAAATAATACACAGGTCTGGGGTCGTTAAAGAAGCTTGTGCCAGGGCTGAATTGACTCTCACCTAAGCTACAGGAGACGTCTTTGTCCAAGGTTCTATCCTCCCATTTCCAATCAGCAAGTGTTTTGTAAGTACCTGCTGTGAGCAAACAGCATGCTAGGAGGCGGTAAACCGGCAGGGGAAAATGAGGAAATCAGTAACACATTTGCTAGGACTGCTAAGTGCAAACGGCCTTAGAGGCCTCGGGCACAGAGCAGCTGAGTGTGTGTGTGTGTGTGTGTGTGTGTGTGTGTGTGTGTGTGTGTGTGTGTGTGTGTGTGTGTGCTGGCTTCACACACTTCTCTGCTGCCCTCCCTTATCTTGGCTGGTTATCCCCAGCTGGCCTTGGTGGCTCTTCAAGGTTTTTCTTTTTCTTCATTCTTTTCCTCTCATCCTGCACATGTGCCCATTGATTTCTAGATGTTATGTAGAGTGCTTGCAACCAAGAGCAGGTCATTTCTGCAGAAGAGCAGGCCAGGCCAGGCTCTGCCTCCCATCCTGACCACTCCTTGTACAAACTGGAGTGCTTCATCAGACATTTGCTCTTAGCTTCTCTTTTTTGATTTCATAGATTCCAGCCCCAGCAGTCCCCACCTGTCCACCTGTGTTTGCTTCTTCTCCTCCTTATTCATGCACTTATTTATTTGTGTTTTAACTTCCCAGAAAATCTCTTCCTTCTCAACGTTTCAAAAGTATGGCTAGTCTTTCATATGTGAGTTGTTTGATCCTTGTACAAATCTAATATTGTAAAATTAGTTCTATTTTTGAGATTACAATATAATCATTTCCCCCTTCCCTTTCCTTCTTCAAACCCTTCCATAGACCCTTCCTGGCTCCTTTTCAAATTGATGGCCTCTTTTTTCTTTGTTGTATACATATATGCATTTATATATATTTAATATATAACTACAGCTGCTCAGTCTGTATAATGTTACTTGTATGTATGATTTTAGGGCTGACCATTTGCTATTAGATAACCAATATTTGGTTATTGGATAATCAGTATGTCCTTCCCTGGGGAAGACTATTCTCTCATTCTCAGCATTCCTTAGTTGAAAATCTGATTTTTTTAAAATCTCGAACATTTTAATATACATGGAAATTTTTTCAATTCTTTGAGGATAAGGGATAGAGTGTCTCCCCTCTTCCTTTTTCCTTTCTTTTTTTTCTCCTGTAATTCCCTATTCACTTTTTTTCTTTAGTTCTGGAAGAAAATATTCCAAATGCCCATCATTGTTCTGAGCACTTTGGAGGAACAGGGTATACACAGTGGGCAGTGGAGTCTGTTGCGGAAGATGGGAAGGCGTGCTGTTCGAATGCATCAAGACCACTGTGTCCAGTGTACACTTGGCTTAACTCAGATCTGTGAGTCATCTGTTATCCTGGGGGGATTTTGTTACTGATTCACGTTTCCAGTGTGGTGACAGACACGCATTATATTTACATGAAGCCTGAACACCCCACACACAGTGTCTTACTGAGACTTAATGCAGTGCCTTTGAGAAAATTTCTCCCAGTGAGGAAACAACCTCCTATATCTGTGATGCCAGACCATGTTTTCAAGATGCGTTTAGGAAATCTGGCAGTCTTTGCTGCCTGGTATCTCTGAGCTGAGGTGAGTGAAGTCAGAGCATGCCATGAACTGTCGGCCTCCGCAGCAGTGTTGGCATGGAGGTGGCTATGAGTGGAGGACCCATCAGGGGATACCGAACCCTCTGAATGTTGTGAGAATGCCCAAGTGTCAGTGGCTGGGATTTTAGGAATGTTTCAGAGTGTAAGGGGAAAATAATCCAGGAGATATCTGGAGGGGCTTGGCGCCATTGGATGGAAATGGCAAGTTACAAATGATTGGCAGGTCATCTGTATGCCTTGGTTTTTTTGATTTGATGAGTCCATATCAGGTGAGGCTCGGACACACCAGCTGTTCTGCCAGCAGACACGAATCTTGAGGTTGTCTGCGGCTAATCTTTAGTGGAGATGCTGTGATGTGCTCAGGCGGGAACAGTCTGACTGTGGTGTTGCCTGAAACATTCAAACTGATGTCTGTTCATGAAGTTCTATTTTGGAAGTTTGAAGGGCTGTGAGGGGCCATCACCTTCTCAGGCTCCCTTCTCTCCCCCACATGATACAACACTCCCATTTGTTTTTATGTTACATTTCTTCCTGTTTTGTATGGAGCACACAGCACATGTGGCATTTTTCTCTTTCACTTTCAAAGGAAGTGTATTTGGGACAGTAAACATGACATTTAGTGCCCTGTGGCCAACTGGCCTCAATTTGAGATTTCAATCACTTGCACAATTTCAAGGCAATGCAAAGACAGTGTGCCACTGCTAGAAACAAAGTCCTAGGTTACTGACACCTTAACACTGTTACCACCCATTTTAACATTTGCATAAAGATGCTCACAGAGCTGGCTGACTCTAGGAAGCCGTTGATGGCTCTGCCTAGGCCAGTGATCTTCAAATTAGGTCCTAGCTGGGTGGGAATAGGAGCAGAGTCACCTCAACTGAATATTGGACAAAATCGATACTAACTATTGGGTTTGTGTCTCACCTAGTTGTAACACATGAATCTACTAAGTATGTAGTCCTGTAATAACTCTTGTCCAGGGGTACAAAAATACAGTGTTTCTTTCTCCAGGATCTGAAAGTTTCTCCTTCACTGTTTCTTGACATTCTCTGTATCCTTTGGATACGTTATAAATAAAGAAAGAAAAGTATTTTTGTTTCTTTTTGGGTATCTGTTTCAGAATAGTTTTGCATAAATTAGTCAAAGAACTATAACTTTTAAAATAAAATCAGAATGAGAAGAACAGTTTATATTTATGAATCATATCACACATCTATTTCCATCTAGACATATCATAAGGTAGATGTGCATTGTTGTTCTCATTTTGTATATGGCAGAGGTGTGGCATTTTCACTGCAGCTGATCTGGAGACAGACCCTGAAGCTAGATGGATAGATGCCGTGGACAGTTGGGTACTGCTAGTCTTTTCTTTATTTTTATTTAATTATAATATTTCTCCCTTCCCCTTCTTCCCTCCAAACCCTCCCATATATCCCCCACAGCTCTCCTTCAAATTCATGGCCTCTTTTTTCACTAATCATGGTGTATGTATATATGTATTTGCATATACATAGATCTTTCTCTTTTTTTTCTTCTCTCTTTCTCCTTCCTTCTTTCCTTCCTCCTTCCCTCCCTCCCTCCCTTCTTTCTTTTTTCATCTGTTTGAGACAGAGTATATCTGTGTGTATCTATTGGCTGTCCTGGAACTTGGTCTACCTCAAACTCACAGAGATCTGCCTACATCTGTCTCCCAAATGCTGGGATTAAAGGTGTGTACTACCACCGCTCAGTTCACACACACACACACACACACACACACACACACACACACACACACACACACAACCAGCAACAAAAAAATTACAAGAAAACCTCTTTAGTCCACATAATGCTACCCATATGTATGTTTTCACCCATATGTGTGTTTTCAGGGCTGACCGATTGGCACTGAACATGGACCAGTTGGTGTGCTTTTCCCTGGGGAGGGCCACCTCTCCTGCTCCCAGCTTTCCTCAGCTTGGGCAGTCTTCTCAAACTCTGAGTGGCTTTTGATCAGAGAACTGTTGCTTGAAATAGTTTTACGTTGTTTGCTTGTATCCTTCCTCTATCAGAAAAGGAAACAAATGCTTCGAGAAGACCTGTGTCTTGATCTGGAAGGACCTGTGCAAATATTTTGATCCCATGTAAACTATATCGAACAAACTTTTCAGTTGTTTATTTTTTAAGTTAGGGCTGCTTTCAGGGATACGGATTGTAAAACCTGGCATTGTTGACTTTTATTTTGCTTTAATATTTGTTTTTGGAGGAACCAGAACCTCCTAACTTTATTGCATTGCAGAAGTATTTACTGACTTTACAGCTGGTTACAGCTATGGCCACTACACATTTAAGGTGTCTTGACTCTCTGAGAAAGGCATAATAATAATAATAATAATATCAATAATAAATAATAATATAATAATAATTATGTATTATTATTATTATTTACTACTATTATTTTTTATTTCAGTTTAAACATTGAGGTTGACAGTCTGGGTGACTTTCCTGGGACTGTGCAGCTAAGCAGTTGGATGATGGGATTGGAGATCGGCCTGACTGGCTCTGGAGACCTGTGTCTTTAACCACAGCAACACAACAGCCTGTTCTAGGGCTGCACTTATAGGCTGGCAACTCCTAGGTTACTCAATGGCTTTAGTCTCCATGGTTATCATTTGTGAGGAGAGAATACATTGCAGAGTTCATTTTCTGAGCAGTATCCCTTTGTTGCAAACACCTCCAGTCCAATCCTCTCAAAGTCCCTAGGCCCAGATAATATTATTATTAAGACTCTGAATTGCCTATGGGAAGACCCAGGGGGCTACTGAGCAGCAGGGAAGGTGGCATTGCTGTTTTGTGGATTGATGAACCAGTTTTTCATTTTAATAATTATACTTCACTGCACTTTCTTTTTCTATTGCTGTGATGAAACACTGTGACCACCAGCAACTTGGGAAGGAAAGAGTTTATTTCAGCTTACAGCCTGTAGTATACCATCCACGGAGGTTGAGGCAGGAACCGATACAGAGTCCATAGGGGAGTGCTGCTTACTGGTTTGCTCACTGTGCTCTCTTATAGTATCGAGGACTGCTCCTGCATCCACCCTGGGCCCAGAGATGGCACTGCCCACAGTGAGCTCTTACATCAATCATCAAACAAGAAAAGGCACCACAGGTCCATCTGGTTGGGAGCATTTTCTCAATTGAGGTTCCCTCCTTCCCATGACTCCAGCCTGTGCCAAGATGATATTAAAACTAGCCAGTACAATGCTTTATGCTGATTTGTGATTAATTCCACACATTAGATCCTGGCTAATTTATTTTAAAGGTGTATGGCAGTATGTCTATTTACTAATTCCTCTTCTTTATAGATATCCCAAGAAGTCTACAAATGAACACCGATAATAGCAGTCTGGACAATGATACATTGTGCTATTAGTGTTAGATTATTATTATTTTGAAGAGTCACATGTATAACAAACAGGATGCAACCGGACATGGCGGGCATCTGTTGCTAAGGTGAGAACTACAAAGGATTAGATTCTCATTATTACTCACAGTTAGTCCCAAATATCTTCGTATGCTCGGCTTCTCAAATTTTTTTTCCTTCAGTTTGGCAGGAAGTCTTAAAGAAGCAAACAGCATGCCCTTCCGCCCTGGCATATTCATAAGCTATTTTGGGATGAGTCATCGGAATTCTGTGGTTTGTATATCCTGAAGGGAGAAAGAAGACACTGTATGGTTAACATTTATTTGAAAGAGCTTATTGGAAAGAAAAATTCTTTGATAAAGTTCAGCATTAGGTAAAAAAAAAATGCCTGTGGATCTTTACACTGTTGTAAAGATTTTGCTTGTGTGCCCATCTCTGGGAATACCATACCACAGTAACTCTTCATGCTGAACTCTCAGTTTGATGTAGTGCCTATAGAAGTCTGAACAGGTGTTTAGCAGAAGTAATTCACTGGCAGTAAACAAATGACTGTTTCTTTCATTGGAGTTGATGCTATATGTGAAGATCTAGAGGCCAAGTCATCTATCTGAGACTGTTGGATCATACTGCCAATACTGTCACTGTAGATTATGATTGAGTCCACTCTGTCATCTATGACAATAAAAAGTACTGGTCAAGGATTTAAGAAATCTTTCTCTAGCTTCAAAGTAGCTGTTGAGAACTTTTTTTGTAATTAACACTGGAAACAATCTTGTGTGTGTGTGTGTGGGGGGGGACGGGGGATGGGAGGGCTGATTATGAACGGAAAAGAGAAATAAGTACAATTTATTGGGGTTCTTAGTGCATACAGATGCTGCACCCCAAACACTGTTTACGTGCTTGAGTGAATGTGCTCTGGTGTTTGACAGGCAGATTTGCTGTGCTCTCCAGAGAGATATGTTCTGATAAGCAGATGTAGCACTTCTCCATCATACTCCATCAAATATCCCACGATGTCCTGACTTTCTAGTTCTCTTTGCTCTAATTATAAAACACTGACTCAACCTCTAACCACTGATCCGTTTGCAACTGTATCCTGATGCCAAGAGGGTGGTGCCTTAATTTAGAATCAGCAATTTTTAATACTCGGTCGTATCTCACAACAGGAAGCACACGCTAAGTTTTGTCTCAGTAACAAACAACTTTATCTTAATGGCCTAGCCCACCTACCTTTCTTCCTTTCTCACACTTTGTATCCCTCCAAGGCTGGCATGGGCTTTGCTTGTTGTAATCATCTCAAACTATTCTCAGGATAACATAGCCAAGGACGTGACAGATCACACACTGCCGTCTAGACACTGTCCGAATACACCTCACTCCTGTTCATCCACTGGTTTCTCTTCCTCCTCCTTCCCCCCTCTCCCTCCTTCCCTTACCCTCATCTCTCTCCTCTCTTCTGCCCTTCTGCCCTTATCTCTGCTCTCCTTCTTCTCTCCCTCTGAAGGAGCAATGGACCACATGTCAAATATGAATATGATGGAGAAATGCAAGTCTACAATATTTCAGGAAAGTGAAGAGAAGATTCCCACATCGGATGGAGTAGACTAGTAGCAGACATGAGCACGTATTGGGAATTGGATTGGCCAGAGGTGGATTCCCTCTATAAACCTCTGAGTGTTCAGCAGCATCAAATTTCTTTTTTTAGACTCCCGGACTGACTCTGAATGTGGTAACCATACTAACATGGTGTAACCTGTACAATTCTGCTATCCTTGCTAGCTTGCCCACTTCACTTCCACGGTTTGTGCTTTGTGTAATAGTGAAAGAGATTCCTATAAATTCAGTTTGAATTCTTCTGCTAGTCAAACGTGAATACATTATATCTTGGCCAAGGAATTCTTTTTTGTAGTGATACTTAAAAATGACTGTGGAGCCAGGCATTGGTGGCGCACACCTTTAATCCCAGCACTTGGGAGGCAGAGCCAGGCAGATCTCTGTGGTTCGAGCCCAGCCTGGTCTACAGAGTGAGATCCAGGATACGCACTAAAACTACAAGGAGAAAATTGTGTCTCAAAGATAAAAAATGGCTGTGGATATTCTAGCATGAATTTAGTAGGCAAATGTGGCTTCCAAGAGACTAATCAATTCTGAGACAATCAGAGAGATCAAGAAATTTGAGGACAGACTCTTCATTCTACATGGACTCAACATTTTATATCTATCTCTTTCCAACAACCACATCTATATCTATATAGATATATGTCATCTCTCTGCTCTCCAATGCCACCTATATCTCCATGTCTACAATTCTGAGGTATAGGAAAACTTCCCCTCTGTCAGGAACTATGAAGCATCTCTAGACGTCTTTTACTACATAGTTTTAAAATAGATTAAAAAACCCAGTATTTTCTTATTTAGCAAACATTTTAAGTACTGTTTGGATTTCCAAAATTGGTGGGCCCTGAATCCAGATAGGTGAAATCTGCATTTGAAAATGTCTTGATCCCCAAAAACATAAACAGAAAACAAATATCAACATCTACCCATGTCTGTGGAACACCCAGGAAAGTAGGTGTGGCGACTTGTAAATGTGACTGGCAGAAGAAGCAGATTCCTGCGCTTCTCCCAAGCCACTTGGAGGATGCTCTCCCCAGTTCCTTGCATCCAGCACATCGACAGAATGGTTTCTAAGCTACAAGTTGGCTCCAGTGGACACAGAATAATCACCTGGCTGAGTGAACAGAGAGAAGGGATCTCTTACTGCTCCCCGTCAGCTGCTACACATCCAGACATGTGGCTAATCATTTATTAGCTTCTAATTTTGGAGGCTGCCTTCAGATGATAAGCCTCATAAAAAACTAACAAGGGGATATCTTTGATAAGCCAGTTAATCATTAAAAGTATGAACAACCAGTTGATTTATAGCTTACTGGAATACATTTGAATGTGAAAGATAAAAAAATGGTATTACCTTTGTCCCTTAAAAATTACATCGGTAAAAACATATACATACAAGCAACACTAAACAGATTCAGCAGGTTGTATTTAGACATTCATCCATATATATACAAAACAATACTCATGAAAGATTAAGGGACTATGAATTTGAGAGCAGGGCCACATGGGAGAGGTTGGAGGGAGGCCAGGGAGGGACAAAGTGATGTAACTCATATTTTAGTTTAAAATAAAAGAGATAAACTAAGAAAAAGGACTCCAAATGTTTCTATTTGTTCTTAGTCCAGTTTCACTGTTTCTGTATTCCAATCATCAAAATATTATTGAAATGCAACTGTAAAAAATTCCACCAGTGTTAAATATTTCAAACAGGTCTACTTTTTTTTTTTTTTTTTTTTTTTTTTGCTGAGGCTTAGAGATTTCTAGTTGAGTGACTGAACTCAAAACACTTTTGATTCTGAAACTGCTTAAATTTCTTTTTATTTAAAGAAAATAATTTTGCTCTTTTTTTTGTGGTTTCTGAATTCATGCACCAAAGAGTATACAAAGAATACAGATTTTTTTTCTAGTCTGTAGGTTCCTGTGAAAATGCAATGGTTTGCATTGCCCATATATATTTATGACTTAAAGCTTAAATTTATGGTAGATCATACTTCCTCTTTCAATTTACCCCATTCTTTCTAAACTCCCTCCTTTGTGGGGGAAAGATCAAGGCACATTTCTTAAAATAGTCTGTCTCTAGAGGGAGGAACCTGGTACTCACACCGCAGGTGTTCTTAGTGTCCATCTGCTGTGTGCATCTATTCTGTGTTTAAATGTAAAACTATCCATTAAGAGCTTAAAGATGAAGATCATCTCTTAGGACCTTTGTGAGTGTCATGCCTCCTGCCTGCAGCACCTCCTTCTGAACTATTGGGGCTCTCATTCATTTCTTCATGTCTTTCAGTCTGTTTGTTCTTAGGAACACATTAGCTGGCCACTTTAATCTTAAATCATCTGGAAGCTGTTTGTTTTTTCTCCCATCTTTTTCTTCTTTTTTAAAATCACTCCTTATGCCCCGGATTTGGATGATCATAGTTGGACTATGAGGGGAGTTGGGCAATGATGGCCAGGTTCCAGAAAGCACTTGCATTTCTCTCTGACAATATCCTGTAGTATTTATAACCTAGAGTCACATTTAATTACATACATCGGATGAGTGGTTCCAGGATTTCCGAGAGGAATGAATTAAATCCCTTGTTCTCCCTCCTGCCTGATTTCCTGCCCAGGATTTCAAAATTCTTAGGGAAAAATTTTCATCCCTGAGCAAAGGCTCTGGAGCGTTTTACAAATCACACTTGCTCACAAGTAGCCTGGATTAGGTGCACGCTGATGGCGGGCAAGCAGGGTGGGGGAGCTTCTATCACCTTCGTACCTCTGAGACTGGTTGGGCCCTCTTCAACCAGAAGGAAAGAGACACTTTTTGGATTCAGTATTCTCAGGAATGACTGCAGAAAGGAGTTCTGTTCTCTGTGGTTCTGACTCCTATGAAGAGTAACCAGTTGCCCTGGGGCTAGGCTGCTTGAGTGTAAGAAACTCCCGTTTAGTTATAAAAAGATACATAGAATGTGATCAATCACACTCTTAGCTCTCATTTCAGATACCTGTGGCACTGAAATCCAAAAGCCCCTGCTAGTTGGATTGATTAACTTCATAGATCTGGCAAGTCCAGGGACTGCAGGAAGCTATCTAGTGATTGAAGGTCAATGTTGCTTGTGAGTGGCTTTTACTTAGTGATTCTTAAGCTTCATAAGGGTGATCGAGGACACCTATGGAGACCCTAATGAAGAAAAGTGTCATGCTTTCCTCTCTCCTTTCCCTCCTTCTCCTCCTCTTTATGAGGTTCTGGGTTCTTGGGATTGAACTCAGGGCCTTATACATCCCAGACCAGTGTCCTACTACCAAGCTACAACCTCACCCTTTATTTTTCTGAGTCAGAGACTGTCTATGTATTTTTAGACAGTCTTCAACTCCCATTCTCCCTGGCTCAGCTTCCTAAATGCTGAGTGCTGGGATATAGGCGTCTGGCAACACACCTGTCTAAGGTAGTGCTTCCTAAATTACGATGGTGATATATAAATTTTTGTTGTTTTAATCACTGAGTTTCCTTCTACTTGCTTAATTTTATTATTTTATTTTCTTCTTTGTCTTGGTTTTAACTTAATATGAGCAAAAGTTCACTGGATATTAATGCAGTTTATGATTTCTACTTTCTCCACAATAATACAAGCATTCAGAGCACTTAATCCCCAAATCTTCAGCTGGCAGGGTCACAATGGAGAGGCAGTGTCTTCACAGTTTTTTTTTTTTTGGTATTCTGTTTCATTTCTAAATATCTTCCCTAATAAAGATTTAATTAAGAAAGTTTCCTTCTATTGGTAGTAATAAGAAACGAGACCTAAAACAGAGATACGGATAGCAGATACTATTCCCAATATAACACAATTAAAAAACAATCAGAAATAGTAAGGGCTTAGTTTTTTTTTAATGGATAAAAACAAAGAACTTAAGAGAATAAAGGAAGACTTAAATTGATTGACAGAACATTCAGTTAAAAAAGAAAGAGAGAGACCCCACATTGAGCAGCAACTTAAAAAATAAAGCATTTTAGAGATCGGCTTAACATTAACTATGAGGAAAGTAATAAACTTTTACTGAGTTGTAAAAAGAAGGTAAGACAATAAAC